CGCGCGCTGTGGCTGGTATACCACCGCGAGGCGTGGCGGGCGGGCGCGCCTTACACGCGTGAGGAGCTACGCCGCGACGCGCACCTCACGGCCAAGGCGCCGCTGAGTCGGCCCGAGGTGTTTCGCGCTCGGCTCCGGCGGCCCCTCATAACAGATTCCCCGAGGCGACCCGAGATGGCCCGAGAGTAGGTGCTTCTTCTCGGCGTGGACGCCCCCTCGTACAAGCTCCTGATCGAGGAGGCGCCGCAGCACGCGGTGTGTGCCTTCGCGTACCGGCTGCTCGAGGCGGAGCCGGCCTTCGCCGCCAAGCTCTCCCAGGCACAGCTCCTCTCCGTCGTCGAGCTGACCGCCTCCGGCCTCCGCGACGACGCGCACTGGGAGACGTGCCGCCGCGTGGTGCCGGCGGTCGAGCCCGCGATCGCGCTCCGCCTCTCAATCGACCTCTTCAAGGCGTCGCGCGAGCTCCCCGACCTGCAGCTGCTCAAGCACGCGTACCACCGCGTCGACTGCTTCACGCGCAAGCAGGTGTGGCTGCCTGCAGAGCTGGGCGCGCTGTGGACGTCCCACCGCGACGCGCTGCAGCGCGAGGTGGTGGAGGGCGCGCTGCCGCACGCGACCACGCTCGGCGGCATGTTTTCCGCCCACGTGCCTCGGCTGGACTCCGCCTCTGAGGCGGCCGAGGGGGGCGCAAAGCAAGAAGGACGCCTCTGAGACTAGCTTCTGAAAGCGACGCCTCTTTGTCTCTGCTCCGCTGGCACGTGCGGGCCGTTCGTGCGAAGACGCTGCCCTTGTTTCGCTCTCCTCTCGGCCGACCCCGTCCCCGACCCCGTGTGCGTCTAGTAGAATTCCCACAGCGGCAAGAGCCAAGAATTCGGTTTTCGCATATCATTTGACATTTCATATGTCAACACCGCCCCGATGACGTTTACGTAGTCTCTTTAGACCTCGGGCAATTGCCCCATCCTTCACCGTCTCTACATGAAAGGCTCGCTCTGGTGTAAGTGAATGTGCGAAGGCATGGATGCGAGGGCTGCACACACAGTTGTGGCCACAGGGTGCTGCCGCGCTGGCAGGAGCGAGCCTTACCTTCATGTTCGGCGCTGCTGCTTCGGATACGGCATGGACAAGAGGCTGATCCAGCGTGTGATCCTCGTGTAGCTCTTTCCCCTTCCTGAGGATTGGGCCACTCGTGCTAGTCGTAGATGTCCGTAGTGCGAGTGCGCGTAGATTCAGGTGGGTTGTAATTCTCAATAGAATCAGCATCCCCATGTGGCTCATTGAGCTCAGCAAGACTTGGGCGGGCGCTGACGGCGCCGCCTTCGTCGCCATGGGGGGTAGGCCAGAGGCCATTAGACCCACACCCCCAAGCAAACGGACGTGCAGGGATGCGGGGTGATGCTGAGACCAGAGCCGGAGACAGTCGCACACGACTGGGACACCGCTACACCG